CATGGCTGGAGTGGTTTGCTATGCTCTGGTGATGTTTCCCTTAGTGTTGTCTTCCCTTACTGAGGCTGCTTGAAGATCTCACCTGTGTTCTCCTGTTCTCTTTTCCCATTTGTGTTTAAAGTGCATCTTTTTGAACACTTGTCTTGCTTCATTGCTGTGCTTTTCCTGTTCTTCCTCTGCTTTAATGCATGGACAGCCTGTTGAGAGTGGCCTTCTAGGCCTGACAGCCGTGGCTAATGGCCTGACACTGGTAGGTTGCGTGGACATTGAGCAGAGAAACAATTCTTCATGTGTTTAAGCTTGGATGGGTCAGTGTTACGTGTACACTGTATCCTGGAGCTCTCCTGAGGAGCAAAATACACTTGAATCTGAGGTGGAGTATTTCCACTGGGAATTAAAGCCAGGCCACAGCTCATTCCTTATTCCTGAAGTTAAACTGAATTTCAGGAAGGATTTACATGGGGAGAGGGAAGTTTAGTGTTTGAATTTGTCATGCTTTGACTTTATTGGCTTACTCAAGCTTGGCTGAGGTGCTAAGAATGACCCCCCAGACACTGTGCTTTGGCCACCTGTGATGTCCTTTTGCTGCAGCTCACTTGCACAGCAGCACTGCATTGCTACATGAGGTCGGGTGTGTGTGTGTGTGTGTGCTGCTTGTGCCAGTTGTTATCACACTGCTGCAGGCCTCTCCTTTCTTGTTTTCTTAACTACTAATCAGAGTGGTCTTCATTTGCTGTTAATGCGAGCTTGGTGCTCTCAGCAGTACTGTTGTCCAGGAACATTCAACGTGTTCCTGTTGTCCAGGAACAAAACCTGACCTGCATGTTATGGGAGGGGTTTATAAAGAACTTCTTTTTGCACAGAACCTGTGCTTTGTGCAGTGGGAGATTGTTTCTAATCATGATTCTCAACGCTTTGCAGAACTGAGATAGTTGGACAACATGAAACCCTCACCAGAAGGCTGTCTGGTGGATTGAGGAACACCATTAGGCTGAAGGTAACAGCTCAGTCCTTCTCCTCTGCAGGTGGACAGTAGAAGGATGAAGGATGTTGTCATCAGCCTTGTTCTCAGCACTCCCTTCATTGCTCTTTTTGCCACTTGGCACCTGGCAGAACTTAAGGTGTTTCCACATTGAGCAGCACTGTGCCTCCTCCTGAGGAGGTTACTTTATTTCTTCATCCATAAAACTATCTAATTGAAACTTACAATTAACAGACAGGCTGCAGTTTTGCAAGAGGCAGCTCAGGAGATGCTTCCAAGCTGGAGGCAGAACAATGGAGCTGCTTTGAGGGCTGCAACTGAGAAACATCAGCTCTTTTCCCACCCAGCTGATTCTATGATTCTATAACTGCTGGAGTGGCTGTTCGCAGCCAGCTGCAACACCCCTCTCCTGGTGCTCTCGATATTCCCATGTTGGGAAGCTAATCCACACATCATCTGAAGCTTGCCCTATGGCTAAACAGACACTTCTGCCCGTCCTGCTGGTGGTAGCTCCTTTAACAACTGATTCCTTAGAAATAACTTTGGCAATACCAAATGTGACAGCAGTGATCTTAAATGGTTTTCATCTTGCTTCACAAGCCTAGAATGCAGGAAGCTGCAATAGAATAAACCATTTGGATATAAGGTCTGGGACTATTTTAACAGAGAAGCTGTAGAGCTTCTTAACTTGGGCCTCTTTTTTGGGGGGGATGGGGAGATAGTTCTTGGAAAATAATCTGAGTAATATTAACAACTACTTCTAGGTTTTGGTCTGTGTAGTAAATAGCAGGTTGGGCTTCTGGACACATAGAGCATTTTGTGACTCCTGGAGCTAAGCCCTCTCTGACACTGGTTATTTACTATTCTTTAATGTAAAATGGAGTTGATATGAAATCACCACGCTTTGCAATGGGGGGGATGCCAGCCTGGAGTTGTTGCATAGCTCTGCACTTTTGTTGCTCATCTCTGGGGGTTGGGGGACAAGCTCCAAAAGGCAAAAGCCTCCAGCATTCCAGCAAATCCCATTGCTTTCACTGCGTTTGTTCACGTGCAGCTGCTGGCTTCAATGGAAAAGCTGTGTCAGGAGAGATTGCTGCTGGGGATTGAGGTCCTGGGTCCTACTCTGCGTGCCAACAAGGTCCAGAACCTTCCCAAGCCCACGCATCTCATCTGTGTCTCTTTCTATATTAGTCTCCAGCTTTCCATCCTCCAGGGGCAGCCAGTTCTTGCCTGGCAATAGGACGTGCTGAACCCCACTTCCCCCGTTACAGAAATGCAGCCTTTCTGCTTGTGCTGCTGACTCTTCATGTGTCCTATTGTTTGAGCAGCTCATTTTTCATGCTTTGTCTGTTGTTTTTGGATTGCACATTTGCAGCTTCAGCACTGGGATAGAGATGGAGGGTGATATTAGAGCACTGATTTGGAGAAGCGGCGCGGTTTGGGGGCCGTGCTCTCAGGGCTGAAGCCTTTGAACAGTTTAGTTCCCAGTGATTTTTTTGTCTTTCAACAGAGCATATTTTAAGCTCTGCTTGTTTTGGCTCAGGAGTATTGTGCTTTTCTTTATTGTTACGAAGCCCCAGAGCCAAAAGATTCCAGAAGAGATGGACACTACTGCCCCTGGCTAAAGCCTGTTGGATTCCTGCTCTCTTTGACAGGTTGTTGTTGTTTGTGGTCTGGCTCTGCCTGTACATGACAGTGAAAGGAAGAAAGGGGTGTTCAGAGGGAAAACCAGGCAAGATCTGAGCAAGGAGAAGTGAGGCTGATGGGTTAGTGCCTCCAGCGAGCCTGGAGAAACCCCTGTAATGCAGTTACTTGATACCTAGAGTTAGAAGCCCAGCCCTCCATGGCTCAAATGCAGGCAGGAATGAAATGGGCTTCTTTCACCTGTGGAGTTCTTACTTGAATTTGGATTCTGCATGTTCCCACGTGTTACAGAACACTGAAAATCCTCCTTGGTAGGAAATAGTAATTTTATCTGGGGGGTTGTGTTAGCACTGGGTCAGCCTCCAGCTTCAAAATGCTTTTCAGCAATAGCTTTTCCCTGAAGTCATTAGGCCTTAGCAAGTAGTTTCACACAGTCACTGGTGTTGATTTACTGAGTTACCTGAAGTCTCTGCTGTAATGAAGCTGGAATTTGATTTGGAAGAAGCTGCATTTGGAACAGTTATTACCAAGGAAAGAAAATCCTTGGCAAAATCCATTTACCAGTTGTGTGCTTAATGTGTCTGTAACCTGGTTGACTAGTTTCTGGTTAAACACCCTTGTGTTAGCTGGTGCATTCAGTTCTATTAGACATGTAGTACTCTAAAATCTTTATATAGGTGCTCCATTATTCTTCTTTAAAACACTTTCCAGTTAACTACAGAACCTTACAGCCCCCCAAATTCTGTGCCAAAAGAGTTAATCCTTATTTTCCAACCAATATCTGCCAAGATGATGGCCTTAAAGAAGCCTCTGGCATACACAGCATTCCAGTGGAGTTTTATTCTCCTTTCTCCCCATGAACAGGCCAAGGGGGAAATGCACTGCAGAGGACTCAATAGCTGGCTTGTCAGTTGAGTTTTCCTTGTAGTTTATATGAATTCCAGGCAGGCTTCTAATGGAACTGCTTATTCCTTTGCTTTGAGAGAGGCTGGTGCACCTCAGGTCTTGCTGTTTGATGTGTTTGCTGCTGTTCACACAAGCAGCTACTTCTGGCAACAGCTTGTAATTTACTAATAGCCTTGATTACAGCAGCCCACTGCACAACACGCTGTGCAGCATGAATGGAGCTGCACATTAGGGGTAATGTCTCACACAGCAGCTTGTGAACATGGCTTTTTCTCCCTTATTTTCCAGTGCATGCACATAAGTGCCACTGTACTAACGGAGCAAGAAGTGGTGGTTTCAGTCTCCCTCTCAGCAGAGTCCTGCCTCTCGGTATCAGGAGGGTCTCAATGCAGTTGGGATGAGTTGTTTTGTCTTCTGCATGGTTTGTTCTCCTCCTGCTCAAGGAATCTGCTGGATATTTTTATCCTCGAGAGGCCACATGCTCTGGTTAAGCACAAGCATGTCAGAAATAATTATTTCGTCTCTTAAAAGGGAGGATTTTGCCTCTTGCTCTAATGGATCGGGTTTTACCTGCTCTCAGCGCGGGTACGCAGTCACCAGCCTATTCCTTAGTCTGTCACATGAATGTAGCTGCAGCGAAGGTGACGTGTGTGAGGAGGGTGGAGGGAAGGTGGGAACTGATGTGACTCCAGGTAGCTCAAAGCTGCTGCTCAAATGGGGCCTTGTGAATCCCCAGTCAGTAGCAGCGTGCTCTGAGGTGAAGTGAGCAGCTCCTTCTGCACTGTTGAAGCCTGCCTGGGTTAGAAACATGTTCCTGCCTTGCTTTGCTGCGTCCTGTTTTGGGAGAGGGAGTGAACCATTCTGTAACAAGGTGCTCTGCTACCTTTTCCATCTTCACTTCCAGCAGTGTTTCTTAGTCATCCTTGTTGCATTTACTGTGGATTTACTAGGTTGAACTTACTATGGAGAGCAAATAGCAAGCTGTGTCAGTGTCAAGGAGGTAGTTATTGTGAGGAGAAAGCAAATACTCATCTGAAGATGCTTCACCTTCCAGTGCAACTTGTCCTCTTGATGGGTGAAGTGCTAGTTTTATTTCCTATAGAAACTCCTCCAGTCTGAACGGTTCAGTTGTTGATGTGTGTGGTCACTAAGACATGACACTCCAGCATCTCTAGGGAAGCTGCTTGGGTACCAGTGTGAGGAACCATCTCAGGATTGTTAACAACATCCTATTTTCTCAATGTGCTCCCTCTTCCAAGTTAGGAAAAGGTAAGGAAATGCACGCTGCCTTCTTCTGGGATGATTTTACACACAGCAGGCATCATTAGCTGATGTGAAAAAGCTGCTTGTTGTCGAGCAGAGGCAGTGCCTGACCTCGGGCGGTTTCCCATCTCACTTTGGGATATTTTCTCTCCTGTTCTCCTGACTTGAAGCCCTGTAGTTTTAATCCCATCTTTCCTATTAACAGGGTCACCTTGTCCTCCACGGACTGTTACATCGTGCATGAGATCTACAACGGAGAGAACGCTCAGGACCAGTTTGAGTACGAGCTGGAGCAGGCCTTGGAAGCACAGTACAAATACATAGTGATAGAGCCCACCCGCATCGGGGATGAGACCGCGCGCTGGATCACGGTGGGGAACTGCCTGCACAAGACGGCCGTGCTGGCGGGTACCACTTGCCTCTTCACCCCTCTGGCACTTCCAGTAGATTATTCTCACTACATCTCCCTGCCTGCTGGTGTGCTGAGCGTGGCTTGCTGCACCCTTTATGGCATCTCTTGGCAATTTGATCCCTGTTGCAAGTACCAAGTAGAGTACGATGCCTATAAACTTTCCCGCCTGCCCCTGCATACGCTCACCTCCTCCACTCCGGTGGTGCTGGTGAGGAAGGACGACCTGCACAGAAAGAGACTGCACAACACGATAGCACTCGCTGCCCTGGTGTACTGTGTAAAGAAGATCTACGAACTCTATGCTGTATGACTCCAGCAGGGAAGAGAGAAACCCACAAAGACAAAGTGTATTAAGACTCCCGCAGTAACATTTTGTTTTTCCTCTTTTTGAGAAGCAGGTGGAGACTGGGGAAGGATTTGGTTTAATAAGAGATGTTATTTTTCAAATAACACATCACTGGTGCACCGAGGTTTTTCAGTTCTTCGTTACACTTAAGGTGTGGATGTGTGGTGACTTGAGAGCTGTATGTTAGGCTGTGGGAGTCCAATCCAGCAGCAGCATGTCGAAAGTGAGCTATAGGAAGAGGGGGTGTGAGAGCTTCTACTTCTTTATTATTTTTTGGGGGGGAGGGGAAACATTTAAGTATCTTGTTTAATTGTATTACACAGAACCAGCCAGAAGTTATCATTGACCATTAAAGGATGAGAATTTCAACTGCTTTTTGCTCTCTTGTTACTGTTACCGTAGTTCACTTTCCTTCCAGGGGATGGAGGCTTTGCTGTGAGGACTCCAGAGCTTATTTATGTGTGCTCACACACAGACCTGATGCTCCCCTTAGCCATTGCACGTGGCAGTAGTGTCTATGGACACTCTTCATCTGTTGAGGGAGTAGCTGTGGAGTGTTGTTTTCCCTCTTGCTTGACTAGATGTGTTTCTTGGAAGAGGCTAACTTTGGTACCCCAGTGCTTACATCCTTTTGGCAATTGCTTAAATACTG